GCTTTTGTATGTTTTATGTATAACCAATCTTTTAGTAGGAATTATTAACAGCTTTGCAGATTTTAAAAAAATGGTTTCTGAAAGCTTTGTTAAAGCAGAAAATGTCAGTCCCAGCAATCCATACTTCTCTGCTTAATACTTCCTTGGCAAGATCTGTCCATGCCAGTGCAGTCTGGGCTTCAGCAATCACAATGCCAGAAGCTTGTAGTGCACACAACATTCTCAGTTATACAAACAGTATTCATTTCCTTCATCCTCACAAATTAAGAGTTAAACTCTAAGTAGGTCTTTAACATTTTCTTTCTTAAGACTTCTCTGTTAAAGCTAATTAACTATAAATTAGGGCTTGAAAAACGTGAGCAGAAAACTAATTTTTATCAATAACTGAACCATACTAAGGGAAATAAAAAGGGTTAAGCTACGTTAGTCAAGGGTAAATCAACATTCTAACCCCATCCCATTAACCCAACTGGTTTACAAAAATAAAAGTGCGTTATTATTCAGCTATTTAATACAGTTGTGAATAACAGTCATAGTAAAGAGGAAAAGAGGAATGCTGTATTTTTAGGCATGAAGAACACCAACTTAGATGACAGGTTTTCCAGTATTTTTGTATTTTTAAAGACAGAACTGTATACATCTAAGAACTAAAGGCTTAAAAAAGAACCTTATGGAAAAAGAAACCTAGTGAACATATATAATTCTGAGTGATTTAGTTTTTTCAAAAATTTCTTTTGTTTTTGGGAGGAGAATCTCTTTTTTTTTTTTTGAGATGAAGTCTGGCTCTGTTGCCCAGGCTGGAGTGCAACGGCATAATCTCAGCTCACCACAACCTCTGCCTCCCAGGTTCAAACGATTCTCCTGCCTCAGCCTCCCAAGTAGCTGGGACTAAAGGCTTGTGCCACCACACCCAGCTAATTTTTGTATTTTTAGCAGAGATCGGGTTTCACTATGTCGGCCAGGCTGTTCTCAAACTCCTGGCCTCGTGATCCGCCTGCCTCAGCCTCCCTAAGTGCTGGGATTATGGTGTAAGCCACCGCACCTGGCCAGGAGAAGAATCATTTATAAAAACTTCCCTATAGAAATAGCTTCGTAACATTTTTACTAATTGAAATAAAAAATAAATTATGAAAACTGGCATAACTAAAAAGCAACCATAATTTGTATAACAGAACATCAGGGTAGGTATTATGTGGCTTACTATTTAGAGGAATTTACAAAACTAAAATTAAAAATGGTACTTAGGTTTTTTACTCTTCAATCCCTCTTGGTGATAAGCCTGGAAGTTTCTTAAGAGTAAAATGCTCATTGGGTGAGAAGAAAATAACACAACTACGGATATATGCCATTCTAACATTTATTCTATATATGCATTTTTAAAATAGGCACCTTAGACAAGGAAAGGGCACGTCAGACAAAAGTACTTGATCCACAAGGAAATCTGCCAGTGATGATAAATATTTAACCTTGATATGCACTTGATCAGTAATTCTGGCCCTAAACAAAATGAACAATTAGAATTATCTTCAACCTTAGCCTCAAGTCCTCATCTTCTCTCACACACCCAAAACATCACCTAAATAAAGGATCTGTAATATTTACAAAAAAGATAATATTCACAAAAAAGGTAAATCTCCCATAATTGCCAAAAATAGCAGTCCTGAGGGTATTTAAAATGTGAGTTTTCAGTGCCTTAATCTAAAGGAATAAAGCTTAAACCAGAATTTCAGGGATCAGCCTTTGGATGAAAAAGTACACTCCCCTAAAATGGTATTTCACAGCCAAGCCCAAATTTAGGAAATGGAATTAAATAATAGTCTGTCTAGGGCACGTTAAACATTTTACCTTTTGAAACCAAATCAACTACGTTCTTAGTTTTAGTAAGACACAGGTTTCTTTATGGTTGGCCATAGCTACCAAGCGAGTAATGATTTTTAACCATGTTGCAAAGGGGCAGAGAACGGGCTTGGAGGCTTGAGGGACCAGGAGGAGACAGTATAATGAGACCTAAAGGGAGAAGGAAGGATGTATGGAAAATGGAGCCTTTAAGGGCTGATGGTTTTCACCAACCTTTGAGGGTCAGTTAGGTGACTCATTACTCACTTGACAATTAAAAAATGGATAGAAATATGGAAAATCTTTTTTAATGCTGTAACTATTTAAATGTATTTTTCTAAACTAAGGGCCTACAGAGAAAGACAGCCTTCACGTGGGCAAACTTTAGGGCACTACCCTCCTCCAAAAATAAAAGCCATTTAGAAAATGAAAGAACAGTAAGAACATAATAATAAATGATGGAGACCTATTTGTGGTTCTAGATATATATTCCCAAATAGGTTTAACAAAAAACATTTTACTGCCTTTAAAAAGAATCTACAAAAAGAATCAATAATATGAAGTAAAGAGGAGAAAACTATCCCCTTATATCAGTTCCACCTAGTGGGGAGGGAACAATAGGGCAGAATTGATTCTCTCTTCAAAAGAACTTTTCTTTGTTAAGGAACCCTAGTGATTGCTTTGCCCTGGTTCCTCTCAACTCCTTATCTTCTTCTACATTGTTCTCTATAGTATGAGAACTCCAGCCTTTGCTTCTACCGCTCTTAGATGCTACTATACCTATAGGAAGGCTAAGCCATAATTGGCTTAGTAGCAGAGCAAGAAAAACTCAAAAAGGCCCAAATATAACTTTCTGCTTCTAGTCCCATTCTGCATAGCCAGTGATTTCACATGTGTACTCTGGAATCACAGAGGCTTGAGCTGAAATCTTGGTTCCATCATTTATTAGATATACACATTTGGGAAAGTTCCTTAACTTCTGTGCACTTCTTACTACCTCCTCACCTATAAAATGGGGATAGTAATAACTCCTGCCTTTCACAATTAATGTGAGGATGAAATGAGATATTTAACACAGTTTTCTGGTACTTAGTAAATTCTAAATAAACATTAACAACCCATTATACTCTGCTTAAATCCAAGATTTCCCATGGTCTAGTGCAGTTGATTACAGAATTGTGACCAGCACTTTAAAAAAAAAAAAAATTCATACACACACACACACACAATATCATAGTGCAATAAAGGTAAGTACTGTTTCAAAAATATTTTTTTCAGATACACACCCACCCACACACATATATTCTTAACTTAGCCTCATTTAGCTTTTCTGTGACACCTTCCCTAAGTAACTTTCACAGACAGCACATGTGTCTCTTCCTCAGGGCACAATAGTATCTTCAGAATTTTGTATAAAATTCTAGAACACTTAACTGCACTGTGCTTGCTTATATGTGTGTTTTTCCACGTCTATTTTCCCACAAGAATGTAAACTGCAAAGAAAAAAACTGCCTTATGTTATTTATTTCCGGCGCTTGAAAAACACTGGATGCTCAATAAATTTTTGTTGAATGAATGAGTAAAATATCAAACCCTAACAGGTATTAAGAACACACAAAAATAATCACTTTCATTTTTATCTGATCAGGTTTTATTGTTATATAGGATTTTAAATTTAGCTATAAGTCACACAAAATCTATAAATTTTTTCTCCCATAGTGCATAGTATAGCCCCTTCTAACAGAGATGAATAAATTTACTTAAAAAACTGAAATGAGTAATGTGCAAAACGATTGTTAAAAAGTAGTACATTCAAGCATACAGACGTGTTGCACAGTTAAAGTTTTATTGTTTTATTTGTTTATTTATTTTATTTTTTTTGAGACGGAGTTTCGCTTTTATTGCCCAGGCTGGAGTGCAATGGCGCCGATCTCGGCTCACCGCAATCTCTGACTCCCAGGTTCAAGCGATTCTCCTGCCTCAGCCCCCCGAATAGCTGGGATTACAGGCACGTGCCACCACGCCCGGCTAATTTTGTATTTTTAGTAGAGACAGGGTTTCTTCCATGTTGGTCAGGCTGGTATCGAACTCCTGACCTCAGGTGATCCACCCGCCTCTGCCTCCCAAAGTGCTGAGATTACAGGCGTGAGCCACCGCGCCTGGCCCAGCTGAAGTTTTGTTTAAGCAGATCAGACACATTCATGCTGCTTTTTAGGGGCAAAGAAAATTGAAAAAAAAGTTATCGGACAGAAAAGGTTGCTTCTATATGACAAACTGTCCTTTCATAAATACTGCAGGTTCCATGAGAACACATCTAAATAACAACACTGGGCAGGTACTTGCTTGAGTACTTTTAAAACAGAAAAATATGAAGAACTTTAATATTTCCAATATTCTCATATTATCACAATTCTCAATTCTATTCAAATGCAAAATTCAAAGTTATACAAATTTACCAACTCTGCTTTTATTCCATCACAAAAAGCAAAACACTGGAAATCAATTCTAAAGAAACACTTTTCAACATGCTTAGAGGCAACAAAGGTTAAGTCAACAGACTATTAAATCAAAGTTACTTATAAAACTTGGTTTTACCACTGGCAAAAATAGATGCAAACAAATATTTGCTCTAAAATGAGACTTAGGTTTTTAAGGTATGTGTTCCTTTATAATGATCCTCTAGAATATTTAATTTCTAAATCATTAATAACTTGACTGAGAAATTGGCAATTCTCAACTTTTTAAGATTACATGTTTACTGATAGGGTAAGGTATATACATGAAATGCAAAGAAAGAGAATGAATTGTACTGCTGCTTCAGTAGTCAGGAATTCGCTTCCTACCTCAGACTAATTAATGATAACTTAAAGCTTAGTAAATACCTAAGGAAATAGCAATTTCAGAAAATCTTCCTTCCTTTTGTGACTTTAAACATATATTTTAGGTTATTATGCAACTCTATTTCAAAGTAATTTCTTGGGCTTGGACATTAAAGTTAAGTCTTAACAGTTAACATTGATTTATTGAAGGGATAAAAAAGATAACCTGTGATTTAGAGTCTAAACCAATGGAAATGGCAGCAAGTCACTGCCACTTATTAAAAATTCTTCCCTCCATCTGAAATAATCATTTTAATGAACCTAGTAAGGGTGGTTAACACTCACCAGTATGAATCTTCTCATGTCTCTGTAGCAGGTACTTCTGTATGAAACGCATGTCACATTGACTACATTGAAATGGTTTTTCGCCTTAAAATAATTTCACATCCACAAATTAGTTACTGAATAAAACAACAGTTTTTAGTTACTGTTTCTGAGGAAAGAAAAATCTTAGATGCCCAAATTTTGGAAAATTACAAAATAGCCATACAAATTTTTGATGTTATTAACAGAATTTTATTTCCTCTCCATTTTTTTCCCAGGATTTAAAAATTCATATTCTCACAATCACATAAAAATGAGATTAAATTTGATCTATATATTCAAGGGGGGAAAAGGAAATAAATAAAACAATTTAAAATTAAATTTTAAAATCATGGGTTAAGAAAGAACTCTACAGGTTCTCACGTGTCTTAAACATATTTTCTTTCTTTTTATTTGGAAGAAGGTGTGCCCATCCTGTTTTCTCCCTAGTTAACCATCCATTTATGCCCTTTTACATATTGTCTTCAGAACCTTCAGAACTTTCTAAACATCCCTTTTTAAAAAGATCTTGTCTCTTTAAACTTTCTCTCTCTGCTGGGGCTTTTCCTTTTAAGGAAAGTATTCTCTGGCCTGTTCTATGCTGAGAAACCTTGTTTCAGTCCTGAAACACTTCTACCTTAGTACTTTCTCTCCTTCCCTTTCACTACACCTCCTTAAAAGAATAGTCCACTCTAGGTCTCAAATTCTTCACTGCCCACTTGTGGTTTAACCCTTATACTCTGCTTTCTGAAAAGCTACTTGTGATCTCCTTGCTATTTATTCCAAAGATTTTTTTCTTGGTTCTCTAACCTCTATCCTCCCTAGGGCACTGGCACTGTTGGTCACACCCTGCTTGGAATTCTAGCTTCTTCCAGCTTCTGGGACACTATTTTCCTAATTCATCAAATCTCCCTTATAACTGTTTTTATTCCTCATTTCATCTTACATGTCTAGTTTGTTTACCCAAAGGTCTGCCATCTTTAATACTGTTCTCTACAACTTCATTATCTTAGCTATCATTTATTTATATTTGATTTCCAAATCCATGTTTTAAACTCTGCCTGGATATTTTGCATACACAAAAAATGAACATTGACAAACAGGCTTTTAGTAATACATTCTCTAATCATTTCTCTAGCTAAATGGAGCACATTAAGCCAAACAGGTGTCCAATTAAGACTATTTAATTAATTTTACACATCCATGCTAATTGTTTTCTCACTCAACATTTTTTCCTGGTTTCCTTCTGACATTCTGGCCTACAAAATCTCTGATTTGGAATGCCAGATTAGCTGTGGTCTTAGGAATGAATGACGTTTACACGAAGATGAAAATAACAAAGATAATAACTTTAATGGCCACAAGCCCATTTCAATTCAAGAAATACCTGTATGAATGAAGACATGTCTCTGTAAGTGATAGTTCGTTCTAAAGGCAGCATTGCAGTGCTCACAAACGTGAGATTTAGGGGTTTTCAAACCAAGTGATCCATCCTCATTTATTGTAAGGATCTAGTTCAAAAAAAAGGGCAAAAACAAAAGAAATAAGTTTTAAAAACGTAATTAAATAGTAATTTTTAAAAAAGATAATGCAAACAACGGTCACCAGAGATTATGAAATATTTTGTTTTTAAATAATCTTGAAAAGACTTAGAATAATGTTATCATTAACTGTAAGAAAGTACAATGTGACTCAGAATGAGCAAAAATCACTAATAAAACCTTGGAAGCTGGTTAAGTAAGATCTCATCACAGCCTTCTCCTCTGTAATGCTGATGTGTGATGGAGTTCCTAAGTGTTCAGTTAGGGTGAGCACAGGTATATTTTCAATTTCAAATTCTCATATATGCAGGAAAAAAGCCTTTAGACATGATCTAAATATCAATCAGTATGGGACTAATTAAATAAATCATAGAAAATGAATACAATTTAATATTATGTGGTCGTAAAATAAAATGACAAAGCTTTCTAATACTTATATGAAAAGGGTGTCAGGATTTGTTAAGTTAAAAAAAGGCAAAGTTTAGAAGTGTTTTGCTAGTTTTGCAAAGTTTAGTGTATAGTTTTGCTAACTTTTGTATATAAAAGGTACATACAGGAATATATATTTGTATAGGCATAAAAACTACTTGAGAAGGATATATATATATATATATACAAGTATATATCCTTGATTATGATGGCTGGGGAACTGTGCAGACAAGAGATAAAATGGGAGGGAGGTTTTACACTGTATACTTAACACATTTTTTTGAACCATGTAAGTGGTTACCTATCACTTAAAAAAAAGAAAGAGAACACTTAAGTTTTCAAGTTATAATATGTAGAATTTAGGGTCTGTTTCCAGACCCTAAAGGTTATTCTAGAACTACTAAATTATTGTTAAACATATTCCTAAGAATATTTGTCAAACAAATAAATTACAAGTGGGTATGGGGTCCATCTGGGACATAAGTACTGAATAGGAAAATTATTCCTTAAAAAAATTTTTTTTTTAAAATAGAAGTGGGTAAAAGGAAGGTAGACAGGAGTCAAAGAAAGCAACCTTATATTTCTGAGTTTATTGAGATTAACAGTATTGTGAGTTTCCTCTGGATGGCACCAGACAGAAACTCACCTTAGGCTGCATGTATTCCAATTTATCAACAACTTGTTCAATGTGCAGCATTAAGCTGCCTCTTGGCCAGGCATGGTGGCTCAAGCCTGTAATCCTAGCACTTTGGGTGGCTGAGGTAGGTGGCTCACTTCAGCCCAGGAGTTCAAGACCAGCCTGGGCAAAATGATAAAACCCCGTCTCCACAAAAATTAGCCAGGTGTGGTGGCACATCCCTGTACTCCCAGCTACTTGGGAGGCTGAGGATGGGAAAATCATTTGGGCCAGGAGGTCAAGGCTGCAGTGAGCCATCATCATCCCACTGCATGCACTCCAGCCTGGGCAACAGAACAAAACCCGTCTCAAAAAAAAAAAAAAAAATTGCCTTTCATCAGACATATGGAAGAGTGAAAATTAATCCTTTTTCATTATTGAGGAAAGCAAAAAAAAAAAAAAAAAAAAAAAAAAGCAGAATATGATGTTGAAGCAGCAAAGAAAACCAGAAGATCTGATCAGGAGGAGTATGCCCAGTGAGAGGGAAACAATGCTCTAGGTGCGGGCATACAGAATGGGAGCTAAGAAACTGTCCAACATAGGTAGAGAGGTAGAGAAAACTGGGAAACAAAGAACTGTGGAAACTGATGAGGGCCTGCAAACACACAGCTATGACGCCTTCTCAAACCTAGAAAAGGGTAGTAGGTAAAGGAAAACGGCTTTAATCCTTAAAACATTTTTACTTTAAATTCAAGAAGACAGTTTAGTTTACACTATATGCAAATCAGCAGTGATTATTATGCAAATTATACAGGGCATTTGGATTCTGGGCAGCCAGCCAATGTGGTCAACAATGCTTCAAAGTCTATGCACCAAAGTCATGGAAGGGAAACATTTGGCAGGAGAATGGAAGTGGGTGTCACAGCTTCCTGAGGAGAGTCAAAGAGAGTGGAAAGCTTCATCTCTGGGCCAGTCCGTTTTAAATTTTTTCAACCCCTCCAAGTCACATAATAATAAGCAAGTTAACACTGTGCAAAAGGAAAACACACAAAATCTCTTAAAATATGACTCAAAATACTTTTGACATAAAACAAACAAAAAGATGTTAAATACTTATATAAAATGGAACTAAAAACAAGACAGCAGCAGGTATTTTTTTTCATGTATGTTGATAACAAATAAGAAAATCCAACTGCCAAAAAACATGGCACTTCAATAGCTTTCTGTGGCATAGCAACTGCAAGGAAAGGCTTTGTAAGGAACAAATCTGACCCAAGTTGCTTAATGTGAAACGGATGTAATCCTTGACTGTACAAAGTCCTTTTATGAAGAGTTGAGGAGTTCCAGGTCATTGTTTTCTGGTACTGCTGCCTTTCTTTGTAGATTCAAGCCTTAATTCAAGGTGAATTTTGTGGATGAAACAGTTACCACTGCCTTGTGGATAAACACACAGGAAAATCTAGCTTTTTTAAAGTTCAAAGACAGAAAGACCAAATTCTTGGACATTTTATATTTTCCTTCTTTCTTTAGGCCAGAGTAACAAACATCTTTGTTTAAAGGACACAGAGTAAACTCATCTTGACTCAGATGAGGATCAATGGCCGTTCCAATTTGTAGCCTGTTTTAAATATATCTAAATGATTTTTATTCCCCCTTATAATCTCAGTGTCCAAAATGGTATCTGGAGCATAGTGGAGACTCTATTCCTGTCAACGGACCTGGCTGTCTGCTGTTCATATCAAATACTCCTCTTAGCTTACCACTTTATTGTTTTTTAAATGTGTTGCTAAAAGCAAAACTTTACTTTTCAATTTTTTAGTCTTCAGATAACTGAGTAGTGAGAGAAGCGGGTAGTTAAAGAATAAAATCCCTTAGCAGAACAAAACTAGCACATTAATGCAGGCAAAATTTTCTTCCCTGGTATTGACTTGCCTTCTTTTCTTGCTCACACCTTTTCAAGACCTTTAATGTAGAATGTGATTTACCAGCTGAGTGTGTTTGCCTTGGAGATTAGCAGTCTTACCTGCAACTGGTTCCATAAAATATTTTTGCTTTTCTTTTTCCCCCAACATATGAACACCATTACAATTAAAGAATTTTATGTTTAAAATGTTAAATTCTAAGATGCCTGCTATAGCATTTTCAGATGCTTTATCTTGCCTCTTGTCATTGCTACTTCAGGAGAAATATGGTATATTACATAGACCAAGTAATCAGGCTTTAGCAAGTGGAGAAATCAGTAATACTCTAGTTCTCAACACACTAGATTTTTATTTCGTATGTGTTCAGTAAATTTAAAACAAGATTTTATAGAAAAAAAATTGAGTATCAAATGGAATTTCTCAGTTAATCTGCTTTCTTAATCTCACATTCATTGTGATATATTTTCTGTTTTAAGACAAATCCATTACTAGCCAGCTACCTAAATATACACATATGGTGACTGTTATCTTAAATAATATACCCATTTTAATCAGGCAAAGCCCTAAAGTCTGCCTATTCAAATTCAGAGATTTTTCACTCCATAAGGATCACTGCCACTGACTAAATGAAACCTGACACCCCTCACTGAGAAAAAGTTCTGTTTTCCTAAAAGGCAGACATGATTTTTCACATTCAAATGTGTACTACTAAAATTATTAAAGCACATTTTAAACTAAACACTGTAAGTTTTATCATATATTCCTGAATCAATCAAAATCAGCTTCTAAGCCACCAAAACTCAAAAGACAACTTAGATAAGAGAGTTTATATTTCTCACCTATTATGAGATGTTCTACTGCAACTGGGGATGGAGAATGACAGCTGTGACCATTGTCTTTACTCTCCAAATCCAATGAGAAATGGAAAATAGTGCAAGTCCAAAGATAACACAAATAACAGTCACCCTGAGTAATACCCATCATGGCAACTTGACTCTCCTGGTCATCCTTATTAACTCATTCTAACACTGTCACTTTCTTTCATTCATTGAGTTTTTTTTTTGTTTCTCAGTACTACATTTTTCTCATCACCAAATTTCATTTTTAAACGGCAACTCACTGTATCATAACCATGGTACAACAACTATGTTAAGCAAAATGACCCTGGGTTTTAGAAAAGACTGTTTCTTCCCTGTTTCCTGAATATTAGGCAAAGTAGGTGATATTTTCTAAAGAAAGATTTACATCAGATTTTTTTTCAAAGTTAGGGTTCAGTTCTATGGGAAAACAATTTGCCCAAAACACACAATTTCCTGGGAAAATTAGATAAATAAAACTCTATTATTTTGCCAATCTTCTTCCTTCATTTTCTTACTATTCCATACTTCCTGTTTTCATCCTCAAGTCTTATAAATCAGTTCATTTTTAAAGCTACTTCTTCCTAAATCAAGGTAACATGTAGAAGAAAGCATGACAAAAGTCTGGTACATCTACTTCTCTGTTTCTTTTCATTAAATTTTCCTTATCTTACATAATTCAATCTTAAATCTTTTTTATACCAAAATCCAAAATCTTTTCTGGGAACCAACAATATATAATAAATTGTTGGGAAAGGATTCTCTATACAGTTTATAATCTATTTGATGTGTGAAAAGTACTCTTCCTCAGTTCAGCATAACTTTGAATAATCAATTTTTATTCAGATCACCTAAAGTGTTACAACAAACAACCCAGTTCCTTTCTTCTGATGAGAGATCCTGGCACATAACAGGCACTCAAATTATTTGTTGAATAAATGAAAAGAGAGATATATTTCAGAATAAAAAGATGTAATTAAAAATATCCTCTCTCTCAGTTACTAAGGAGCTTGAAAACACCTATAATAATATATACGACATGGGATTTAGATAATATTGTTACATTTTACTGAAAAAAATTCTTAGAATTCATTAATGTTAACCCAACAATCCTCCTAAAACCCTTCTGAGATGGAAAATGTTACCTTCTAATTCACGTAACAAGTGAATACCAAAGTCCAGTAGTAATACCTCATTTATTCAGAAACTTCTAGTGTCAAGATTTGAGGTTTTCAAGCTTAAGAGTATAACAATCACCAAAAACAGACTCAAAGGGGCAAAGGAAAGTGATGTTAAGTGGCCACCCAGATATACAGCAATGTAAAAATGAATAGCATGTCACCAAGGAATGAGAAGTGAAGTGATAATAAGCAGTATAACACTTAAAGTCTAACAGTGAGGATTTTCAGGGTCAGGTGGGTGGGGGAGAGCCCTAAAATCTCTGTTCTCCTAGAGGGCTTCAACTGCAATACACGATTTTAAAAAATGTTTATGTCAGCTTCAAGACATTAAACACTGAATTACGTTCAAGTACATTATATTTAAAAGGAAAACAACACATTAAAGATTTCCCAAAAAATGGTGAAAATAAAATGAAATTTGATATTTAAAAGGTGTAAGCTTCTATTATGTAGAAAACTTACTTTCATAAACCAGCTAATTCCACGACAGATGCAAATAGCTTAACCTAGATGATGTTCCCTAGCTCAGTTATCCTCTTCATCAGGCATCCTGCCAAGTGTATTTAGGCAGCTTTCAAGTATCAAAACCTACCTTAAGATGATCAGGCTTTCCCATTGCATTTAAGTTTTCCAAAAAAAAAAAAAAAAAAAGACTCAGCTTTGCCATATGAGAAAGGTTCAGAAAGCAATTATTGCTTAAAATCCATGGCAGCTAAAAGATGACATAACAACACAGTACTTCACAAAACTTATAAAGGGAGCCATAGTTACATGGATGTTTATAAGCTCTGATATTTTTACTAACACTCTATCGCATTAGTTATATTTCTTGTGCAGGTCCCCAATCTAATACTACACAATGGTGACACAAACTCAAAATATTCACAATGGCAAGATTTTAAGATTTGGAAAAGGTGCTGGGGGAGAATGGAGTCCTCTAGGCATAATAAATCATAAATCTTTGAGGAACTTAAAATTGTTTTTAAGGAATTTGAAACAAGTAACACTTATTGATTTACAAACATGGGTGAGTTTCTCTTTCTCTTCATACCAAAGAGCAGAACAAATTACTTTAACAAAAGTTCTGAAGCATAAATTTTTATACACACTCCTGAGAAAATGTAAAATTACTCACTCATTATACCTTAAAGTTCTAAGACTCCAGACACAAAAAACCCATTCATCTGGAGATGGCAGACCAGTGGTTAAAAACAGTTCACAACCATTCCCTGTCCCATTACATGTAACATGCCAGGATAATTGAAAAATAATTGTTTGTTCTTTATTAAAACAAACAAACAAACACAGGGTTCCACAGTGTTGCCCAGGATGGTCTTGAACTCCTGGGGTCAAGCAATTCTTCCGTCTCAGACTCCCAAAGTGCTAGGATTACAAGTGTGAGCCACTGTACCTGGCCTGTTTGTTATTCTTACACCTCTGTCTTCTGTATATTGTTTCTAGTCACTTCATCTTTCTAAGAATTTCTCTAAAGGGCTTCCTTAAAACATTCTCTTATATACACTATACTTAGAACAGGACGACTCTGTCATCTGGCCACTATAGGTATATAAATACTTAAATAATACCTTTAGAAATATTCTAAAATGATACATTATAAATGAGTTTTATCTCAAATTAGACAAGCAAAATAGCTTAAAGTCTGTAAATACCTATCTATATTTACAAATACCTAGAACATACCACCAAAAACAGAGTCCAACACCCAATAAGCAGATAATCTGGGTTTTAGTCAGAATTTCAAGAAGAGAGCACACTTGAAATAGATACCCCATAGATCAGCAATGAAACCAAAGTAACAATCAATCACTATCACAAACGATTTTAGAAATAATTTTGTACACAAAACCTGGTATCATTCTATATTTGAAGAACTTGATTTGTTCATTAATGTAAAGAACCCCCAAAAATGATATAAATTACTGAGAAAAACATTAAAACCCCAAGAAAAGAAGTGGAGGGAGAGGGAAGAAAAGAAGGGAGAATTTCACAAAACATGAAATATAAAATGCCAAAAAAAATTTTAGAAGTTTAGTGTGACCAGAAACTAAAGAAATTCAAATTTAAACTATAATGAGGCTCCCATCTTAAGCAAAGTCACTCAAGACCAGTGAGAATGCAGACAGATACACCTCAGGTTCACTGCAGGTAGAAATGTAACTGGTATAACATTTCTGAAAAGAGTAACATTATCAAGAAATCTTTCTAAAAGTTCACACCCTTTGATCAATAGTGCACAAAGATACATACTCAAACATTTTAAGTGCAGCATGATTTAAAACAGAAACAAAAGGACTACAACTTTCAAACAACATAATAATGTCCAATAAAGCAATAATTAAATATAACATGATCTATCAAAAAATAGATTATGTAGCTAATAAAATGATTACAAAAAACATTAAAAATTTAAAGCACAAAAATTGCTTACATACACTTTAAGTGTTAAAAATCAGCTAATTAAATCTATATTATACCTACATATCTATCTGCACATATTTGAAAAAAGATAGAAAGGGAATATGGCAGAAAATCCAAGTAGTTATCTCAAGGAAATGTAACTATGGGTTACATACATCTCTATGTTTTTCAAAATTTGCTATCGCAGGCATACTTATATAGCCCCCAAATAGTGGTATGCTGAATATTTAACCACCAGCTAAGGAATCAGGGGGTAGAGAAGCATTTGCTGATTTCTGTGGTGTAAATATTCCCACCATAGCTAATTATAAGCTACGAATCGTTTTGGCAACTAGTTTGCAAATGAAATCTTGCAAGCCAGCTCGAGCTGGCTCCAACACTCCAGTAAGTCCAAAAGTATAAAAAACATAAATAATAATGATGATTATAATTTCAAAACACAAATTTTTACAAAGCCATCAAAAAAATCTATTACAGTATGATCTTTTTTAAAAGGACTTTCTCACCACATGAGGGAAGAAAAAAATAAGACTTAACTATAAAAATGCAAATATACTGCAGAGAGTTCAGAGAATTTCTAGGAATACCAAAAATGCTGCATACATTCAGCTATCACTATACTAAAGAGAAAAAAGCAGGCCAGGAGTGGTGGCTCATGCCTGTAATCCCAGTACTTTGGGAGGTTGAGGTGGGAGGACTGCTTGAGACCAGGAGTTGGAGACTACCCTGGTCAACATAGGAAGACCCCATTTCTGTAAGAAATTCAAAAATTAGCCAGGCATGGTGGCACATGCCTGTGGTCCCAGCTACTCAGGAAGCTGAGGCTGGAGGATCCCTTGGGACTGGGAGACTAAGGCTGCAGTGAGCCATGACCATGCCACTGCACTCCAGCCTGGGTTACTTGTTGATTTACTAACCCATTCATTAACCCATAAAATATTTATTGAAGATCTATTATGTCTCCTATTCCAGGGTCTTAGGATACAGCTGTGAACAAAATGAAGTCCCTGCCCTCATGAAGTTTACATCCTATTAACAGGGATCCTATACCTTTTGCTGATGAATAACTGGTATTACATTTTCCTGAAACCTTCATATAAAGATATAGAAAACTAACACAAATGAGAAGAAAGGGCAATGCATGCCATCTGTTAGAGATATGGAAAAAGAAAAGTTCATTTTTAGACAAGTCAGGAACATGGTGAAAGAGAAGCAGAAAAACTGAAAGCAAGGCCCACCACCTCCATGCAGGCATGCACCCCTTCCTACTAAACCACACAAGACTTTTACATCTGCCTTAGGGTCCAGCCAGGTTCTTGCCTATAGAATTAACCAACAGTTGGAATTAAGAGCTTATGATTACCACCTTAATATATTGTCTTACTTTTGCGGGAGAACGTTGTTTCCGCTTCTTCTTTTTCTGTAAGTCTACTGGCTCTCTGATTTGTTTTTTGTCTCTCATCAGTTGCTCAGATACATCAGTAAAAGTAATTTCCTGCTTTACACTTATCTGTTTAAAAAAAGAAAAGCCAATTTTAGACACATATAAAAAGTTCATTGTGACAAAAGGCCATTTTATGTTTAATCCTTTGCTAAACCCACATATAGGTAAGTGCTCCCAGAATGATGATCTATGTGTGTGTGTGCTAACTAAATACTGTGCTATAGAATTCATCAATAGGCAGTGAGTAATAAGAATTGAGAGTACATAAATTGAGGGATAAACAATTTTTTTTTTAAATCTACCTGAGAAAAAAGATTAAAGACGTCCTGGGAAAACATGATCATAAGACCAAGCAGAAGTCAGGAAATCGTAACATCAATTTCATTCCCACATTTAAGGAAACTGATACTTAAAAGCACACAAAAAAGGTTAAGTTCCAAAAATCATAATACTGAATGGGCTCTGTATTTATAAAATATCAAGTAAACCACACACAATTCTAAAAGATAATTTATCAAATGAAGGACAAATTAACAATGAAAATCTATTCATCTTCATGCTCAACATTTTTGTCATATGACTCAAGATCTTAGCCAGTACTTTCCTGGGCTCTACAACAAACCATCACCAAATATGTATTTACAGAAGCAAGTATAATTTTAGGCCGCTACACTGTACAAGACATGATACTAACCACATAATAGAGAAATACTAGAAGAAAAATTAAGATTTCAACAATGTTCTTCAATTTTCAGATCTCAATTCTCAGAGTTACTTGTCCTTAAAGAAAGAAAAGAAAAACCAAGGTTCTAAGATCACTAACGGTACTGTCGTCACTTCTCATCAGATTTGATGGTGTTCAGTCATCCCCTCCTCACTGCTACATTTTCAATCTATCCTTGAAGTTAAACAAGAACCTTAAAACTAATAAACTTTCAACTCAGGCTATAAAATACACTAAAGATCCTTGAGAATAATTCAGTAAGAACAATATGCTAATGGCTACATTTTCAATAACCATACTAAAAGCATGATGCAAAAGATGATCAACATCTTACAGATTCACAGTGTAAAGGTGGAAAACAGCTGTGTAGAAGAAAATGGTTCATAAGAAAAATGCAACCCAAGCCAGGAATCTCAGACTGACCAAATAAAAAGTGGAAGTTCTCATGGATTCCTGAAATGCAGGCCATGGGAGAATCACAAATCAAGAACCTTGGCACAAAAACATGATGTAAATGATGATTTATTTAGCTAGTAATTCTACCAAGTTACAGAAGGGTGCAGTGACCACTCTTCTGACTTTGTTGGTATCAATTATTTTGAATATGAAATAGGATGGTAAAATCACCACCTACAAGACTTGGGAATACAGACCTCTTATCACCTCTGAAGTGATATTTACTGAAAAACAATTACTGGGAATGAGTATGAGACAAGAAAAGATGACAGACTATGTAAGCAGCTGTGGAATTTTTCTGCCCTATTTTGAAAGAGTACCAAAAAGTAGTGCAAACATTTCTGTCAGTGTGTAAATTCCAAATAAACCATGGAAATGTAGCATGCGGCAATAAAAAAGAGGAACTCTTTTTAGCAAGTGTCAAGAGTGTAAGATAAATTCATAAATAAGTTCTGCTGTTAACTGCCATTCACAAACCAAAGAAGAGTCTTTACATGCAAACAGTAAAACAGATTAATACATATATCTGAACCTGTTATTTCCACATATATGGAAAGTGATTATATGAATACTATGATTTTCACCTAGTCCCATTAGTACCCTCATGCCTATTTGCAGGCCTGAATTTCAATGCTGTTCTTATTACCAGTCCAGAAATGCCACCACCACCACCATCCACCACCACCCTACCTGCCCTTCTTCAGATATGCCTAAACGCAGACATTTATCCTAAAACTCTAAGGCCCCTGCTCATCCACTGAGCCAATCTCCCTCTGGGCTTCCCACTTTGAAACTACAGAAGCTACCAGACATGATTTCCTTTTCACATCTCCCTTCTATACTCATCTAACTTCTTCCCCAAGTTAAGACAGAAGTAGAGATCTATAGTGTCATGCTTCCTCTCCTCTTGCCACTCCCTATGCTAGTTCTTTCTTGCAAGTTCTAAAACATCTCTTAATTACCCTATTTCTCATTTTCAATCTTTCCCTCTTTATTCTCCTGACTTTAAATATAAAGAGTCCTCCCTATACTGAAAATATCCTTCCTTTGATTCTAATCATTAACTCAACTCCAGAATGACTTGCTTTATCAAGACTTATTTCTCACCCCAAAATAAAGTCTTACTTTTATATTTAACTATTTAGTGTACATGTATACTGTCTTGATATTTTAAAGATACTCTTTATTGGTATTTCTTATAACAGCTGTCATTCATTTTCTCATTCAATGGCTATTAAGTGCCTGCTATGTCAGGCTAAAATACTATAACAAAAACATTTACTGAGATTGTAATACGTGCAAAGTGCCATTCTACATACATTCTAGATACTACATTCTAAATATGAGATTTCCTTTTCAAAGGTCTTAAAATGTAGATGCAGAGTTCTGATGCATTACCAAAAAAAAACCCAAAAAACAAAAAACAACAACAACAAAAAACACCTAATACAGACAGCACATGTCATACTCAAAGTGAACGGAACAGGGTATGAGAATAAGGGTAGAAATTCAAAGGGAGAAATAAAGACAATGTGAAACAACTGCATCAGACTTTAGGGACAAAACAACAGATGATGACAGCTGCAAGTTTATCACATATATCTCCTGTTTTAATTTTTTCTTGCAAATTTGCTACTCTTCTCAACTTCATCTAGTCTCAATAAGTGATATAACAAATATAAATTAACTAAAATAATGTTGCCAGACATAATATGATGAATAAGTATTTCACTACAGTTGCAAATTTTGGTCTACCCTCTCTCCCCACCTTCCAAACAAGATGACTGACTCCTTGGAATCATTTTAGACTCTTCCTTCTCTTTATTCCCAACATCCTGCACCCACACCCAGTGACATCCACTTCCCTCCAATTAACCATACAACCTCACTGACTTAGAGCATTATCATCTCCCAATGTATTCTTCTACAAATAAATTAATATAAAACTATTTCGTTATCATTTCCTCAGTAAGGAATTGGCAACAGACTGTTGCCTATAGTATCCATTATCAGCTCCCCAGCTCAACTTTCAAAATTCTACATGATCTACTTTACAGAAAAGACCTAAGGTACTTGGCAGAAGGATATGACCTTACCATCACTCCTCTCCATTTCTAGAGTCACATGTTCTTATCAATTTTCAATTTCAAATTTTGATGTTCTCACTCATCTCCCAACCCACTGGAGTAAAATCAAGGTGGTCTTCCTGTTTTCTCCTCTACTCTACTACTGATTCCATTCCCACCCATTTCCACAGCTCTGCTGTTTCACTGTCTATTTTATAGTCTCCCTGACACTACTGGCTACTTCTTCTCTTCTTAAAAGCACACTGAAATTTCCCCTATAAGTTCTTGTGGACCAAAATTTTTCCAGCTACTATCTTCCTTCTTTTGGCCAAGCATTTTGAAAGAATAATCTGTAGTCAGCATAGAGATAAAATAATTGTGCCCAAATTTAGAGAAATGGTTGTTCTGAGAGTAAAAGTAGTACACACAGCCATATAAAAAAAGATGTGTTTAACTATCACTAGAAGGAACCTGTTCAAAATACTGCCTAGGCAACACCCAAGTTGAATCAAGGTGACTGAAAGTATAACAGGTTTAAATATAAAAGGAAAGGTAAGACACAATTAATGGTACTGTAAATGTACTGTCTAAAGAATGTCAGCAATATGGGGGTATTCATGGAGTCCAGAAAAGGAGAAATTTAAGATTAAGTTTTAATTTGCATGTATATTTCCAGCACAGAACTGCAAGAACAGTTTGATGTAACCAGACAGCAGGAAGACTTCAAATTCTAAGCTCACAAAGCCACAGAACAGGACAGGGAGGTGAAGCAGTACACTGATGGACAGGCCTATGTGAATCATGAACTATACCTGTCCCGTTTGCCTGATCCATGACTGCATGCAAAATTTGGAAAAGAGCTACATTTGTCAGGCCAAAGTCCATAGCTATCCTTTGATTTCGAAAAGGTTCAGAGAGCCACAGTTGGAAACAAACATTCTGGTCTATATACCTATTACATTTCTCACTATAAATGTAAATTCTGGTTACTAGATCACCATCTTACAGTTTATATAATTAAAGATGAACTAGATGAACTGATCAAATCAAGTTACCTTACCTGAATCAGTGCTGACCATCCCTATCCTACTTGGAAATTCTAGTCTTCCAAGTTCCATAAAATCACCTAATTTAAGTTCTCTCCTTTTCTTCATAGGAGTTCTTCTGGATCCATCCTTCCAGTAATATGTGCCTGTATTTTGTAACAGTTTCAGTAAACTTACATCAGTGGTTCTTAACTTTTTATGTTTAAAGTCGGGAGAATAAAAAAGGAAAGACTGAAAATGAGAAAAAGGTCAGGGTAATCAAGAGATGTTTTAGAACTTGCAAAAAAACAGTCAGCATAGTGTGGGGACTCCTGAAGGTCCCTTATACCCTTTTAGGTCATTCATGACATCAAAACTACTTTCACAATAGTATCAGATTTTTAAAACTCTCTTTCTGTCAAAAGTATACAGTGGCATTTTACAGAGGCTAATTAAAATGTGATATCACCACAGACTGAATATATGTCACCAAAGATATGCGTCATATCCAGTTATATTAAGCCAGATAATAAAGAGATATCAAAAAATGTAAAACAATTTCCCTCTTCTCACTAAATTTTTTGTTTTGGAAAACAGTTATTTTTTATTTACAAATGTTACATGCTAATATGTAGTGAGTTTTATTGTGACAAATTAATACGTAAAACTCTAAATTTCTCAACTTTAATTTTGAATATGGTAAATACTGATACATATAACCAACATAAGCAAAAGCTCTCAGGAGTCCTCAGCAATTTTTAAGAGTATAAAGGGACCCTAAGACCAGAATATTTG